AAAAATGTTAAGAATTACTTATATCTCACTCTGTGTCCGAGCTTGTTTGTGGTTAGCGTGCTCGAACCATGAACCCGAGGGCTCATAGTTGTCGGCCCATTGCCGCAATAACGTTCTCCACACCATGGGGCCGTGTGTGGCTTATACAAGTAACGGTCAGATATCACTGTTCGGTCAGATGAGAGTATTCAAAAGATGGCGGTTGGTGCTGGAAGCTAGCTACCTTCCATCTAATCTTGTCAGCTCAAAATTAGGAGACCCGGCATGGCCAGGTGGTTAGGGCGCTCGACTCACAATCTGAGGGTCGCGGGTTCGAATCCCCGTTCCACCAAACATGCTCGCTCTTTCAGCCGTGGGGGCGTTATAATGTGACGGTCAATCCCACTATTCGTTGGTAAAAGAGTAGCCCAAAAGTTGGCGGTGGGTGGTGATGACTAGTTGCCTTCCCTCTAGTCTTACACTGCTAAATTAGGTATGGCTAGCGCAGATAGCCTTCGTATAGCTTTGTGCGAAATTCAAAACAAACAAACAATCAAAATTAGGAACTGCTATGTGTAGTTTTTGTCTAGTTTTGCGTGAAGAAAATCTGTATTTTAGACCTTTTATATAAAACTTGTGATAATCAGAATTGTATTGAACATGTACAAAGTTTCCACATGATACCTGAATAGTATCTGCCACTTTGAACTTTATTTTTAATTATGTAAAGTCTGGTAAAATAAGTTTCATTGTTCAGATTGAGCCAGTGTTCTACATCCTAAATTTTAAATTACTTTTGAGTTTCAGCTCTTTCAAAACTTGATAACTGCCTAAACTTACGTAACACGAAATGTACAGCTACTGTTGGCTGGTTAAAAAATTAAACCTTCCTTAACCTGGAAGAGAAACAAGTATTCAAATGTACCTGTGTATGTGTATATTTATGTATGTACATACACACACCAGACGTTGGAATAGTAATACAGAAGTTGTACACTGTTCAAACCAGCTTGTTAAACGTTCCGGAGGTGCACCCAAGTTTCTAAAGTTAATCGTTAGCGACTTACACCAAAACATATGATTCTGGCTCCTAATCAAATGATTAACTTAAAAGTTACATCGTCAGCTGAAAGCAATCAACTAGAGCTCCTTCTACGTCCTCCCCCACCCACGTTCTGTTACGATACTCTCCCTGTCAGGTGCCATAATGTGGGTAGAAAGCTGGGTCATTACCCTTGAGGTAGGGGGGGGGGGTAGTTGAACTACCTGGAGCCTATTTCAGGTGACTTCTTTTTTACATTTAGTGTTTTGTTTTTTATTGTTGATGATACGACTTTATATTACTTTATTTTGACCCACAAATTTGAATATCTTACTTAGTAATTAAAATGATTGTTATTAATAACGCAAAAAATATTTTAATGGTAATTTTCAATACGTGTTATCATTGGCTTGTTTAAAACACTCGGTAACACTGTACTCTGATGGTATGATTCCAACTTAGAAAGCTCACTTCATTGTAGGAAATACACACTTCTTTTGTACAGCGCACAGGCTTTACTTAATTTAAAATACCTGTATAAAAAAAGAGTTTAATTTTGTAAATAAACATCCTCGGTTGACTCAGTACTTTTGAAAATTCACTAGGATGGTGTTCATCCAGTATCATAGAGTCCGTAGACTATATGTAGGGATGGCCAAGATAGTCAATAGGAATAATGCAAATATACACGCTAAAAACTCAACAATGACATACAGTTTTACTTTAAAAGAGGATTGTCACCCACTTTCATTTGTTTTTCTACTCAACAAGCCCAAAACCAAGGTAAGAAACCGTCGCTAAGATACCAAACCAGAAGGTGACCAACCCACCAAATTATTCATCTTTCTTTTTCTTGTTTCCGTCAAGATAACTCTATAACTGCTTTATCAAAAATCTCAGTTTAAACCTAAATACACTCTACGTGTTTCTGGGCAGTGCAAGATGTCATCACTTAGTCGTAATAGTAATTTTAAAAAATCATAGTAGTGTGAACGATGTTATCATCACCCCTTGAAGTTAGCTTTCTTAGAGAACTCTGATGTTCCTTTAAAACGCTTAACTACAGGGTGAAACAGGAATTGCCAGCCAATAGTGGATTAACATTAACTGACTTTAACATGTAGAATACTCAATGCTTTATCCGCTATACAATCGGTGTCTTCAGGGAGCCAACCCCTATATTATGTATGAAGTGAAGGTGTAAAACAAATCAATACACATAACATATATTTTGATTACAAAAATTCATAGAATACACTAACTTTAAGTCAGGGGAAAAGACGTCACAAAACAAGTAATAAAAACATTTTGTAAATGTAAAATGATGTAGGAACGGCAGTGCCATAAAGAATGCAAATAAGAATATTGGGATGATACAGCTATACATAGGTCATCCCCACATGAGTCTTAATATTAAAACAATGTTACACTGTAAAATGTATACTTGACTTTAATATTACTGCAGTTAGAAGTTATACATTCCTGACTGTTCGTATGTAGTTTAATTTGTCAATCATAATATCATGGTCATATCAGGTTAGGCATCAATGTAGTGTAACTAACAGCCTAGGAAAATCAAGTTTAGTCAAAACATGTATTGATTATTACAGACTCTCGCTACGAGGTCAGTCGAATTGACTGACCTCGTAACCATTTTGTATTCGTGCATTTTACAGTGTAACATTCAATTTTAATATTGAAAGTCATGGAGGGATGATCTATGTATAGCTGTTTCATCCCTATATTCTTGTTTGCATTTTTTGGCACTGCCATCTGTGTCGCTTGTATGTTCATTTGCGTGTTTTTATTCTTCGTTTTATGTAGGTTAGATTATCTATAGCACCTAACACAACACCTTTCAAATGCAGTATACTTTTAAATCCGTTGTTCATAGAAAAGAGATATAATAGTAACTAGCACAACGTCATTCAAGTGTAGCATACTTATACATAAATACGAGGTCTATTGAAAAGTAAGGGAACACAGTTTTAGATATAGCATACTTAAAAATCCGCTGATGTAGAGACTAGGTTTTGTTTTTGAATATCGCGCAAAGCTACTCTAGCCGTCCCTAATTTAAAAGTGATAGAGGCAGCCAACCAACATCATCCATCGCCAAACTTTGCGCTACTCTTTACTAAAGAAAAGTGAGATTGACCGTCACATTATAACACTCCCACAGCTGAAAGTGATGAGGCTCGAACCCGTGACTTATAGGTTGTGAATCAAATGCTCTAACCATCAGGCTATGCTAGGCCTAGATGTGAGTTGTAATGGTAACTAAAATAACACAATTTTAAGTATGGTATGTCTGTCTGTTTAAAATGGTCTTAATACACTAGTTATCTTGAATAAATTTTTGGTATATTGTCTGCTTGCAAAGTTTTAATGTTTTTTTTTTTTGTTTAGGAATAACCTACATAAAAGTGTGTTTCAAGTGTTATACAATGTAGGAATGCGTTTACTCATTTTATTATATTATTGTCATAAAACATTCTTACAGTTTCCACAACGAACAGAAACATCTCACTTGTTGTTTGCCTTTAAATGTCATTAGCTTAGGACAATGCCTGCATGTTAAGAATATCATATTGACCTTTATTAGTTTGGTTTAATTTGTCACTTCTAAGATGCAATTAAGAAACAGTTTTTTTAGAAATAAATTAAAAGAAAACGATATAAGCTGCTTTGTTGAAACGGAAGGAGACGTAGACGTTTTGTTAGTTGGCTAATAAAGGAAACGTTTAATCGTCATTATGCCATCATGACAAATAAGTTTAAACAGTTTTCCTGTCCGTGCGTTATCTTCTTTCTTTTTTATCTATTAAGTTGGGCTCTCTGAGTGAACTGTAATTTTTGTATACGTGTGTCTATCCTTTCACGTTTCTAGTTTGAATGTAATTACGAGTTATATATTTATATCATGATATACAATTAAACCCGGCAGAACTTCCAATGGATACTTTACCCATTACGAAAGTCTATGTCTCAAGAATCTTAACCACCAGTAATAAGTATTTAGAGCCCACGAGCTGGTTACATGTATGTCATTGTCAAGTTTATAGGTGTATCCTATATATGCGGTCAAACAATTTATTTCAAATGTTGAAAGTTACACTGTCGGAGTTGATTAATGGGTTTTCATTGTGCACTAGATGTTGTTAGGGTGGATTATACAGAAAATACGAACAATTTACGTGTTGCTTTGAAAAGTTAATAAAAGTTATAAACGGTGAAGGTTCGTGTCTTGTTGTTTAAGTATCATTCTAAAACCTAACTCATAATAAAAATATTAGTCATCACGGATCATAAAATAGCCTGCCAGTCTTGTATAAAACGTACAGTAATGAATATAATGTCAATTACTGTGTTAGATATTTGAATATTTACGTCTTCAAAACTGGAGCTACTTTTATTATTAGTTTTGTAATAAGTATACAGAAATACTGTGTAAGACTAGTACTTCTACAGTTGCTAGTTCCTGCTGAAGAACACGCTGTATTACGTGTATTAAGCCAAGTTATTTTATTACGTTTTTAATTTTTTTCTGAAGATCCCTGCTTTTTCTTTCATGATTTATTAAAAATGATAGAGCGTAAAGTGATGACTATCCCTGTCTTTGATTACATATGAATGAAGAATGGGGTTACCCATGAAACTGGTTTTCTACTGAAACAAGAAACTCAGAATAAAGTTATAACCCAAAAACTTCGGAAGACTGTTTTTATATGTTTAAACAGAGTTAAGTGAAGTATTCTTGTATATATATATATTTATATATCAGTTATTTAATAGACTTTATCAATCGTAAACTAAGAATAAAGTTATAACACAAAAACTTCGAAAGACTGTTCTTTTTCTATATGTAAACAAATTTAAGTGTACTATTCTTGTATATATATATATATATCAGTTATTTAAAAGGTTCTAACAATCATACGAAGACTTGGGGTTATGATACAGTTTTGATTCTCTCCAGGTGGTGGATCTTCTGGGCCGCTGCACATGTCCTTCTCAATTTCCAATGATCAGAGTATCAGAGGGTAAATACAGGATAGGTGACACCAAGATTTTGATCTTTGTTCGGGTAAGTGAAGCTATATTGAGTTTTTTTTATTATTATCATCCTTAACACTAGGTTAATTTTTTTTCTCAATTTCTTTGCTTGGGAAAGTCCAACTAATACTTATAGCTTTGACGTAACACTTAATTTTTAGTTTATGTATAATAAGGATTATATCTTTGACAATGCGTTTTCTTTACACATATCAATGTACTTATCGATGTTTCTTTAAATTCCAAGTCTCCATAACTTTCTCTTCTTTCTACACCCTCCCTTTTCTCTCATACTGTGCACCCAACCTTTTTTTTTT